AAAGCCACGGATGATCTCCCCCAGCGGCTTCACATAAATATTGAACAGTAAGGGGGAGAGGACTGACCCTTGTGGCACCCCACAAGTTAGGGGCCTTGGGGTCGACCTCTGCCCCCCTGCCAATACAGACTGCGTGCGGTCGGTGAGGAAGGAGGAGAACCACCGCATCACCGTGCCTCCCACTCCCAACTCAACCAGATGCCGCAGCATGATACCGTGGTCCACCGTATCAAAAGCCGCTGAGAGGTCCAAAAGAACTAGGACAGAGGAACAACCCCTGTCCCGGGCCCTCCAGAGATCATTTACCAATGTGACCAATGCTGTTTCCGTGCTGTATCCCGGCCTGAAGCCCGACTGGAGCGGGTCTAGATAGACCGTTTCCTCCAGGTGTCGGGGGAGCTGCCATGCAACCACACTCTCCACAACCTTCGCCACGAAGCGAAGGTTGGAGACCGGACGATAGCTAATACATCTGGGTCCAGGGAAGGCTTCTTAAGGAGGGGCCTCACCACCGCTTCCTTCAAGGCCACGGGGAAGACACCCTCCCGCAAAGAAGCGTTTATAATCCCCTGGAGCCAGGCTCGTGTACCCTCCCGGGCAGCCAGTACCAGCCAGGAGGGGCACGGATCCAGTAAACATGTATAATAAAAGGTTATTAAAGAGTGAGGATTACTGTACGCTGCCTTACGGCTATTAAGGATGGTGGAAAATATTGCACAATTTGTACACCCTTTCTCCTGTATTATAAGTGGCCCATCCAATTCTGGCAAATCTTTTTTTATCAAACAAATGTTAGAACATGGCGATGTTGCATTGTCTCAAATGCCTCAAAATATTGTATGGTTTTATAGCTGTTGGCAACCTCTGTACAAAGAACTGTTTAATAAATTCCCTTATATTAAGTTTATGGAGGGGCGTCCGTCTTCTTTTGAAGATGATGATTTGTTTCCGCCAAATCAAATCACTCTAGCTGTGATAGATGATCTCATGGCATCGGCCGGTGACAGCAATCAAATAGAGAAGGCTTTTACACAGTACGTCTGTTGTGTCCTGGGCCTGCTGAAGCAATTCAGCAGGCCCAGAAATGTTGCAAACGGTCCCGGGCAACCTAAAAGCTGCCTGGGACCAGACTGGCTGGCGCTGGACTTGTGCGCATGCGCAAGGCGCGGAAAAAGGGTTTTCTCTATTGGCTGGACTGTCTGAGGTTTGGGAGACTATAAAAGGCCTGCGTGCCTGTTTGCAGAGTTGAGTGGAGTTGAGGAACTTGTTTACAACATGTGTCTTGCTTCAATGCCGCGAACCCCAAAACACAAAAACATCCATCACAGAAACCTGAGCATTATTCTCATACTACAAAACCTGTTTTTCAAGGTAAGTGTCATGTGTCTGATTAACAAAACACTTAAAAGGACTTTCAGGCATTTTTACTCCTAAAAGCATTTATTAATGTTACAGATACGTCAGTACAACATGGAGGAAATGCTTAGGACTGGCTTCTTTTCCGCTATGCATGTAATTCTAAGCATTTCCCTCCCACCTTTTTTTGGGGTCATGGTTCACATCTTCCAATCAACTTGGAAAATGTGATTTACTTCCGGTTTCTTTTCCCCTTCTGCCTGGTTTAACTATAAAAATGCCAGACAGCTCTGCATATTGTCAAAGCAAGAATATACAGTATTTGCAGCGTTGACAGTAAGAAAATGAGAACAATTTATTTTATTTTATTTAATTTATATGCCGCCCTTCTCCCGACAGGGACTCAGGGCGGCGCACAACATATTTAAAACCAGAACATATATACAATCCCCCCCTTAAAACCGAATTAAACCGAATTTTAATGTTGCGTCTTCCGAATATTTAAAACCCAATATAAAATCCACCCTAGGTCAGGTCCGCTTGCTGAAAAAGCCATGTCTTGAGGGNTTTCCGTGCTGTATCCCGGCCTGAAGCCCGACTGGAGCGGGTCTAGATAGACCATTTCCTCCAGGTGTCGGGGGAGCTGCCATGCAACCACACTCTCCACAACCAGTTTGGTTCTCCCTCTGACCAGCTTCCACCCATTGCTTCTTGGAAGAGTTGGGCCATAAAAGAAACACTTGAATGGCACACTATTAATTAAGCCCTGTAGACGCTATTGGGGCATCTTGAACTGTGATGGTCATATTTGCCCATATTCTACAGTATATATGGCTATCACTAACCATATTTCTAAGCCTGAAGTATGGGGCTCTGAGTAGCGGAGTAAATTGTAGTTATTAAATGGGGAGTTGCTATGGAAGTGAAGAAAATAATTCAGGAAAAAGAGCTGAAAAAGAAGTTCATCATTTTATTATAGAAACTAGGTTCAGTTTTCTGGGAATCCAGAAACTTGAGTCTGGAGAAGGTAAAATCACTTTAAAAAAAATATTTTTATAAGAGCAAATCAAAAATCAAATTAGAACAACAAAGGTATCAGAAACAGGATTATTATTGTTAATAAAAATGTACAACAAACTCATAAAAAAGAAAAGGGAGAAGAAGAGAATCTTTAAAAGAAATGCAACATCCAATTTTTTTTTGTCACCCACAATTAATTTTTCTTTTCAAAGAGTATGTATACAATACGTAAAGGTAATCTGTAAGGAAAATATTGTTAATATTTTAGTAGTAATGATGACCAAATGTGATTGAATTTTCTGTTATTAAAGAATTTTCCAAAGCTCTTACTGTTGATTTTTCAGCCAGGACAACTTCCCACACTGAAATACCTCTGAAATACTTTTTATGAGATGCACTTCAGATTTCCATTGTTTTGCAATAGCAATTCTAGCAGCTAACAGTGAAACTGAATCAATTATATTAATTATATATGCATGCAGCTGGGTTCAGATGTGATAAATAAAATTCTCATACTGATAATGCACTAAATATCTAGACAATAAACTAACTGAATGATTTATTATAAAATATTGTCAGATGATTTCCTAAAGCACCAGACATGGGCATCAAAATTGGCAACATATATCAATTTCTTTCTACAACTCCAGAAGGGTTACAATGTAGATAGCATTCTATAATCCTGACTTGCTGAGCCAGACCAAGAAAGCTTCTTAGAGTTTAAGAATTAAAATTAGATCAGAAACATTCTTATGCCCATTTTTTGGTAGGCACGGTGATGCTCAGCTCTTGACAAGAGGGCTGCTTGGGTTGGTAGCTTGCTTTTTTCAGCCAATTGGTCAGGGATAAAATGTTGCCTTTTGTCGGAGCTTTTGGTTATGCAAAGCTCTCACCCCAAAAGTCTGCTAATCTTTTGTAGCTGTATTAACATTATAACGAAAAAACCCACAAAAGCATATTTAGAGTATGTATGTGCGTACACACACATACAGAGAGAGAAAGAGAGAGAGAGAGAGTTCAGGAAATCAGCCAAAGCAATATAACATTCTGACATTTTAAATGCATCCAGAAGATTAAAATTAAACAGTCACAAAACAGGACAGATGCATGGGATCACAGAAACTGGACTTTCTACTAAGAGTAGAACATCTCACACTTTTGCCCCACTGTACATTCAGACTCATACATACTAAAGTGTAAACCAGATCATCTGTGGGCCTTTGAAAACAATCCCCCATCACTATCACAGGCTGGACAAAACTGTGCCAGCAACTTAAATGTGTATATTGTATTTTCTTGTTGTTTCCAGGATGACAATATCATGAGATCCTTACAACTTTTTGAAAATGTCATGTAACAGCAGCTGAAGAGCAGTCTAGAAATCTGACACTTTATATGTACTGAGATCCTGAAGAAAACAAGTCAAGATTTTTTCTCCCCACCATCCTTTTTGATGAAAGCTTTTTACTACTTGGACAGATTCTGTGTGTAAGGATTTTGTATGTTACTGCAAACTGAGCTGTGTCTCTGAATGCAACAAACTCAATCTTGCCTCCCTCAAGAGACACTGACTAGAATTTATTTCATTTGGAAGCATGCTAATAAAATCTGACCAGAGAGACCTGCTGCTTAAAGTTTAATAAATTATTGAAGTTTAAATTATTGAAACAATATTCAACATTCTATTAGCTAATCACAGAAAATCTGCTGCTTTGACTCTAGCAAGCTGGATTGCATATGGTAACACAGCATCAGTAGCTTCTTTAATCATCTGTTGTGAGCAGAAACTCTTTCTTCTATCACCACATTGTGTTAGCATTTTCCTTTAATGGTACTGGAAAAGTTTGTGCTACTTTTAAAAGCTGACACAAATATAACATGGTAAATGGGGGATTTAATTCATTTAGAACCTGTCTGGACAATTATTTATTTTTGTTTACTGCACAAATATTTGTTGGCAATAAATGTAGAGCAGTGACTAATTTATTGTACCAGATTCAGGCATTTTTTTTTTACCCAAGGAAAGGCTTTCCACTGCATTTTCTTAGCATTAAGATTGTTGTTGGAAATATACATTTCTTTTCACCACTAACAAAATAGTTGCAATCTGGAATCTACCTGCAAAAGGGGATTTCCACATATGCTAAAATTCTCACTTTTCAAGACAAAGATTTGTCAAGCTGGTCCATTTCAAAACTGCCACTGTCACCTCTCCCTCTCACCCAGAGCAAATATTCAAGTATATTCAAGTGAAATTAATAACTTGGTGCTGACCTTTGTGCAAGAGAAGGGTTACCAAAGTTGAAACTGAAAAGTATGTGTAGGTGTGTTTTTGACACATTTTGCTATTTGATTACTAAGTTGCAGCTGTTGTGTGAGTTTCGTCTGCGGGCTGAGTAAAATAGTAAAATAGAGTACATCTGATCCAATAGAAAGAGGAAAGAATCAAGGACAGTCCATGCCATAACCTACTGTATAGATAAGGCTAGTGTTTTATTGCTTTTGACTTGAAAAAGTATTACTGTAAAAGAAGACCGTGTGCTTTAAAGGATTTGGAGCCAATTGTCTAGCTGTCCCATTGTTTACCAAACCTGTGCATGAATTTTTAAAAAATCGGTTCTCTAAAGACTGCTTTAACATGTAGCAGAGAAGTGATACTCTCACAGGAATTCCAAAATATTTCCCGCAAACCTTTTTCAACCCATTTAATCACTCCCTTTTTTGCTTTCAAAAAGTCCAGTTTAGGTTTTTCCTCTATGCCATCTGGTGATGATTCATATGAGACTGGGAATCACATAAAAACAGACTACAGCATACATTTTGCAGACAATATCAGAAAAATATTTAGCTAAATAGGACAACTGTTTTGCCTTATTGTTTCAATTGACCTAAAGGTATAGAACCAAGTTTCAAGCTTCTGAAATGTTTCAGAGGAATGGAATATCCGACATTTCTATGTCGTTGCTCAGTACAACATATAAGATATGATTTTATCGAACACAAAACATTCACCAGTTTATTATGCCTTGCATACAAGCTGAAATGTGCAGGCTCTTCTTTGTATATTGTGTACCTACAGTTTTCAAGCACAAAACTAGCCATAATGGCCTCTGTATGCTAAGTCACTGCATAGTTCATAGTTTCATAGTTAAGCAACTTAGATTACATTTAAGTATTCCAGGATATAAAAGTGTTAAAATTTCAAGCTATCTTTAAGCAAACCTTGATTTCACTGGAGCTGAGAGTTCCAGTTTTTAATACAAGGATATTAAAACTCAGGATGAATAACCGCTCTTTGGAGATTTGGGGGGAGGAAATGTTTGCATTGTTTCAAAAAAAATATTTGCTCACATCCTAATGATGTTTTTGCCCTTTTGAGATGCAAATATTTAAAAATAAAAATTCAACCAGTTACTTTGAGCTATTTTGTTAGCCGTTGACATGGCTGATGCTGATGCTAACATGATGAAAGATAGATTGATATTTTTAAAATGAAATTTGAGGTTTCAAAGTCCAAGGCTACATTTTAAACTGTACGCAGTATATATCATTCACGTAGTGACAATTTCACACTACAATGTCATTTTTTTTCAAATGGAAATCCCAGGAAATGCAAACAGAACAGTGTTTTAAGGTTACAATCCTAATGAAGTAGCTTTGAAGTAAATTCTACTGAAAGTATTAATGGAATTCACTTCCAAATCATCTTGGTTAAGACTGAACTTACTGATTCAAATACAATTGCTTTCAGCATCAATCACAGATTTAGCATTTAAAATTAGTACCTCCAGTATATGCAGAAACCTCTAACTGAACTTATTGAGGGTTGCTTATCTGTCTTGCAATGAGACACATGGAGAAAGGAACCCAGAAAGATGTCACTCTTGGAAACACATGAATGGGAGGGAATGCTTATATGGCCCCAACACTTTTCTTCTATATATGGACTTCTCCATTTCCTTACCCACCTTAAGATATTGTTAGCATATCTTTTGTTCTAGCAAAATAGTGTTTTATTTCAGATAAGTGAAACAATGGGCCTGATCTATGGTTAAGCTACGCAGGAAACAAGAGATCAAGAGATAGGAAGACTTTCCAGCCCAATTCTTTCCTGGAGCTTCAGATCTGATCTCTCTGCATCTCTCCACCAGTGGCAGATAATCATTCAACTAAGCTTTCAGCTTGTCATTCCCAGAGGCTCCCAAGCCAACTTGGCAGGGAAGACATTATACACCAACAGAAAACTGTCTAATATGGGATTCACATCCTATGCGGCACCATGTTAGTCAACACCAATAAAAACCACTATTTTCCCACTTGTTCTCCTGAAAGTGAAAAGAATCAGCTCTGGAACATAGCAATTTTTAGCTGAGCTTAAGAACTAACTGTGAGAGATTATAGCTGAATAGTCACAGATACAAAATAAAATATTGAACATTTATATTTAAGAATTAAATCTAAATTTGATTTCCTGGTTTAAGAAAAATTGTTCAGATTATACATTTTTAAATACACAAGAATGAAGTTATTTGAAAAGCAGTACCAAGTCCTTGATTTTTTTTCCTGGGGAAAAAATAACTAAGGGCTGCAACAAGTAGCTTTTCTTATATTGTTCTAACTTGTGACCATCATATTTTCAATAAGGTTTTAGCTATATTTTTACAACAGATTATGTATTATTGGCAAGGAAAATATATTTTAAAAATATCATTCATAGTTCTATATTTTATAAAGCACATTAACTGTAAAGTCTTTATACAGAAAGTTGTAAACCTGATACTACTGTAACTGGATTTGTAATGTGATGGGCATGTTCTCAGAAAACGTTTAGATGCCCTTTAGATATCTTGTAGAATATATTTGGAGGTTTTTATCCCCAGTGATTTCTCCAGTTCTCAAGTGTCCCTCCTGTGTCTGGCTCAACCGCTTTCTAGTCCCAGCACTTCCCAATATCCACTGACAAACCTTGGAAGCATGATCACCATCAAAGTACTCTAGATATAGAGATATGTAACTTTCCAGATAGCCTTATGGGATTCCCTTCCAATGCAACCACCATGGGCTTTTTGCAAACTGAAACCCCAGAAAGAGATTCCCCTCTGCACCTCTCTCTCTTCTTCATCAATTAGCTGGCAGGATTTTCTTCTTTTTCCTAATGGCTTAGTATATGAGACACTGACTGCTTGGTCCACACTCCACATCTGTTCTGCTATATAGTAGGAAAGAGACTGCAGACTGGGAAAATGGAGTGGGGAGGAGAATTAAATTGAGGTTATGAGTCTTTGTAACAAGGGAATAGACAAGCAAATAATTACAGATATAGGAGAAAGAGGTATGGAAATTAAGAATGTTTCCCCAGCTTCAACCATTTAAGAATTGTTGAAGATGAGTTAAACCATTAAAATGATACCACGTTAATATTGCTTCAGCATGAAGGAGTTAAGTAGACTCTTAATTTTCCATGAAATTTAAACAGGTGTAATTTTTTCTCTGAATCAAACTTTATACGAGCTTTTCCTTAACATATAGGTTGAAGATGACAGAATTTGTAAATCAGCATTTATGTATTAGACACACAGCTCACAAATTTTAGATAAGTTTAGCTGCTGCAATAAATTAAATATATATCTTACAGAATTCATCTTTTGAAAGTAACTTCTGAATTCCTGTAGGAGAGTTCTTTACCTAAAATCAAGAGAAGAAAGAGAAAAAAAATATTATACGACTACTTAGTACAACACATTTCTCACAAATTCTGAGGCACAATGCAAACAATTGTTCAGAGAGAGATGTTGAGAACCCCACTGGGGCTTCTAGGGAGAGACAGATTTCAAATTTCTCCTACTGCAATCCCACTTTTTGTAAACCTCTACATTTATATAAATCAGCATATTTAATAAGAATGTGTATCAGACTCAGGTAAATTCTGAGTTGGAACTGAGCTCTTCATGTTCTGAAGTTCCATGAAAATCTCTTCAGTATGACCCAAACTAATTTGGTATTAAATTGCTTTCTATAGAGAAAGCAACTCTGCACACTAGTGTTATCTAACTCTATCAAAATCAAGGATCAATCAATAAAATGAAAGGAATTTAATTTTTTTTAAATAAAAGATGAAGATTAGTTTTAAATACCATATACATATTTCCTTGACATTGATAGGTTTTGTTCTTTTGAAAAGTCTAATGTACTTCCTTGCTGTATCTAGTTTCATCAAAAACTAAATTCTAGAACTGATCCTGAGGTTTTTGTAGGTTGGTCAGTGAGAAATTTACTTCATACTAAAACTCTGAGTCAGATCAATAGCTGATGCTCAGATGATTTGTCCACCTTCATAATGCCTTATAGACTAAATTA